CAATTGATTGATACCAAGATCATATGCTTGGAGGACTTTGAGCCAGCGGAACCCCAACAATGAACATGTTGAAGGTCATTTGAAGCACTTTCAAATAAAGGCTTATGCCATTTAAGTTTAAGTTTCTCTACATTCATGTTCCGTCAAGTTCTGACAAGGAAGGTACCCATGTTAGCATATGGGCAATAAAGTTTGGTCAGAATCTATCTGTTGGGTGTTGCTATATGCTCTGTTTAATGTCTTGAATTATGCTCTTTGTATTTGGAACTACGTCAGACCTGATTCCCGTTTAAGAGGGGATACGTAGGCGCTCCTATGGAGTTCGGTCTTATCATAATAAAATTCCATTTCCCCTTTTGACTGTTAACTGGGGCAGAATTTTTGAGAGGGTCTCAAAAATTCCATCAGAAAGACATTTTCTTGCAAATGATGATACTGAAGCAGAATTTTCTACAGGGAACTCAAAACTCTTGCAAAAGCATTTCTTCGCGCAAATTAGTAACTGGGGCAGAATTTTTGAGAGGGTCTCAAAATTTTCATATAAGAGCATTCTTCTTGCTAAATCTCGATATTGAGGCAGAATTTTTGAAAGAGTTTCAAAAATTCCTTCAAAAACATATTTTCTTGCAAATCAAGACCGAACAAAATTTTGAGAGGATCTCAAAAATTCACAACAATCAAGCTACAATCTACATACAAAATCAGAATAACAGAAATTCTACACTGGGGCAGAAAATTTTGAGTAGGGCCTCAAAATTTTCGACAACATTACAAAGGACATACGAGCAGACATCAGAGGAGTATAATGTGCCGAATCAGGGATACAGATCAACCTCCCCTTTAACTAATTATTTTTCTTTGAATGCATAAAAGACAGGTACGTATACAAGAAGCAACTTCAACACCACTTGAAGGATCAATGTGTCGATATATCCGACAAATCGCTAATCAATGGCATTCCATCCTTTCAATAGGAAGAGTGATCAAGCTACATTATTCAGAGCTCGAAAATCACCAACGAATAGCACATTGACCTTCCGACAATGGGAAGAACCAAATTGCTCTATACTGATCCCAAATCGCCAGTCAAATGGCATACTATCCTTCTGACAGAATGAAGGACCAAGTTATTTTGAGCCCGACAAATCGCCAATTATTGGTACATCTTTCCAATCAGACAAAAAGATCAAACTACTTCATATCAATCCCGAAAAATCAACTTCTCAATTGCACCCACTCCTTACAATAGGATGAAGGGTCAAAGCTACAATATTCTGAACTCGAAGATTGTCAACAAACGACACTCGACGCTTCTGACAAAGCAAAGGTCCAAGATCTTTCATGTCCGATGACTGCATGTGCCCAGACGACATTGAGCCCGAGAATTACATGTGCCCGAGAATTACATCATTTGCATGTGCCCGAGATTGCATTGTGCCCGAGAACTGCATTGTGCCCGATATTGCATGTGCTTGAAAATTGCATCGTGCCCGATATTGCATGTGCCCGATATTGCATTGTGCCCGATATTGCATGTGCCCGAAGATTACATTGTGCCCGATATTGCATGTGCCAGAGATTGCATTGTGCCCGAGATCTGCATATGCCCGAGAATTACATCATTTGCATGTGCCCAAGATTGCATTGTGCCCAATATTGCATGTGTCCGAGAAATAGTGTCAACAGATGCCCGAATTACAGATACGCTTTCTTTACTCATTACTCATATTCCTAAGGCGTCATGGTCTAAAGGCATCATTTTCATGGCCTGCGGACATCATATCATGGCCTAAGGATTTACTTTCTGCTTATCATGATCCAAAGGTGTCATAGTCTAAAGGCATCATTTTTCATGGCCCGCAAACAACATTTTCATGACCTGAGGATATAATTTTTGCGTATCATGGCCCTAGACATCATAGCCTAAGACATCATGTTCATAGTCTTATGGCAAACATCATTGTCAATATGGGAAATTGCATCATGTTTACCTTTATCGTTTGTTTGATATATTTGCTCTAATAATATTATAAGCTACAGATTTGCAGAGACTAACATTTTGCAGGCGAGATCAATCTCCCTCTCGGCTACAATTATCATGCTTACATCTATCGCAACAAAGGCCCTATCAAATTCTTTGATACTCATATTACCGTTTTTTCATTTAACCCTTGGCTACTCATATTACCGCTTCTCATCGGATTCTGCACTCTCAAACTGGAAATCACTCTGTCTTTCTTGCTCGCTTCTCTAATCTTATCCATTCAAAGCTAATATTGTTCCCGTTCGAATGCCGTAACGCTCTTTCGATTCTCAGGAGTTTCGTCTGCTCCTAAGTCATGAACTACGTTTGACCTGATTTCCTTTTGGATACGTAGGCAACCCTTTGTTGGGTCCGGTCTCTATCAAAATAAATTTCTTTTCATTCCCATGGTCATCCAAAACATTCCTCTCCAAATTCAAATTCAGGGCTAATTGATCCAATCTTGAACATAATTGACGTTCAGATTCGAAGTCGAGCCTAATGTCCAAATATAAGACAATCACTTTTCTTATTGAACTAATAATTTTCTTTGAGTGAAGCAGGATCAGAAAATTCCCCGCTATTGAAACTGGGGAAGAATTTTTGAGAAGACCTCAAAAATTTGAGTATATATCTTATACTCTAAACTGGGGCAGAAATTTTTGAGAAATCCTCAAAAATTTCATCACAATGAAGTGCAATTTCGAAATCAAAGCAAGCACAGGTATGACCCAATCTTGTTTTTCAAATTTACGATTTTTCTCTGAACGCAGGAATATATTTGACATAAAGAGCTACTATTTGTATCGAGCTACCATTCAGACTATGTTGAAGATGCTATTATCAATTTGCTATTGTGGCATACCAAATATGAACATAGGCTCGCCTGCCTTACAATACGACATCAGGTTCGCCTGCCTTACAATAGGATGTCAGACTCGTCTGCCTTACAATACGATATTTAGGTTCATCCGCCTTACAATAGAACATCAGGCTCGTCCGCCTTACAATACGACATTTAGGCTCGTCCGCCTTACAATACGACACTTAGGCTCGTTCGCCTTACAATACGACATTCAGGCTCGTCTACCTTACAATAAGACATTTAGATTCGTCCACTTCATAATAGGACATCAGGTTCGTCTGCCTTACAATAGGACATTCTGGCTCGTCTGCTTTACAATACGACATTTAGGCTCGTCCGCCTTACAATACGACACTTAGGCTCGTTCGCCTTACAATACGACATTCAGGCTCGTCTACCTTACAATAAGACATTTAGATTCGTCCACCTCATAATAGGACATCAGGTTCGTCTGCCTTACAATAGGACATTCGGGCTCGTCTGCCTTACAATACGACATTCAGGTCGTCTGCCTTACGATACGACATTTAGGCTCGTTCGTCTTACAATACGACATTTAGGCTCTCCCGCCTTACAATAGGACACTTATCTCTGGAAGTTGGCTATAACTCTTCAAGAAGTTAAGCCAGAATTCATGGAGACGAGCATTATCTTCTCAAAACAGATACGCCTTCTTATCTCTTCTCTTCATTATTATTTTCTAGCACTTATATTTTTATCATGGTGGTTCACATTTTTCATAAGCTAACCATTTTATCTAGTCATGTGAGAAATTGCAGACGAGATCAATCTCCCTCTCGGCTATAATTATCGTGCTTACATCTATCACAACAAAGGCCCTATCAATTTCTTCGTTACTCGTAGTGCTGTTTTTCATTTAACCCTTGGCTACTCATATTATCACTTCTAATTGGATTCTGCACTCTTAAATCGGAAATCTCCCTGTCATGCCTTTCTCGCTACTCTAATCTTATCCATTCAAGCCAATATCGTTCCCGTTCAAATACCGTACCGCTCTTTCAATTCTTAGGAGTTTCGTCTACTCCTAAGTCTAGAACTACACACAACCTAATTCTCGTATAACCAGAGATATGTAGGCGGCTTAATACCAAAGTCTCGGTCGTATCATTTTCAACCTTATATCATTTCAATGGATCCCACTGACATCTCTCGTCGGTCGGACAAAATCGGCTACTAAGTCAGCGTTGATTGCTCGACAATTCATCCTTCATTCTCAAGCAACCAAGGGGCAACTGTTGACACCCAATTTTGACCGACCTTCAGCAATTTTAGGAATGCTATTCGATTAAATACATACTTTTGAAAATATTTTGAGCTTAAAATTTTAGTCAATTTTGCCTAAAAAATTATATATTTTAGTAAGCTTGATTTATAAAAAATTTATTGTAATTATTTTATTATTATATTTATTGATAGTTAAACTGAAAGTAATTATTTTATTCAAATATTTTAAAATTTAAAAGAGATTTTAATTATATAAAAATATTATAACGTGTAGTATTTTAATTGGTTAGCATTTTCTTAAATTTGCTCTAAATCATTTAAAGCTTAGCCTAATCCATTCCAATTTATTTAATCTGTAGCCACTCTTGCTATTTCAATTCATTTCGATTTTAGCCTCTTATTCTAATTTAATTGCAATTCTAGCCCCTTCTGTCCTTTGCAATTATAGCCAATTTATTTCAATTTAATATATTCAACCCAACCTCATCTTTTAATCATAGCTGTTGATATCATCCTTTAAATCTCAGCCCCTCATCTTAACATGAATCAACGTTTTGGATTAAATCCCCCAAAACCTTCCAATTTAACCTAGAAAGACCAAGCCCCTCAAAAAAAATTCATCTCTTCCTCTCCTCTCCGGGCAGCCGCCACCCTCTCTCCCCACCATATTTTTTTCCGGCGAAAGCCACCGGAGGCAGTCGCCTCTCCTCCTCCCCGTCTCCCTCTCCGGCGCCCTCTCTCTCTCCCTTCACACTTTCTCATTTATCTCCCCTTGCCCCTATCTCTTCTTCTCCTCCTTTTCAGGCGAAGGAAGCTGGACAGCAACTCCAGTGAGCAGCCAGCGTAGCAACCAGCAGCAGCGAGGAGGAGGAAGCCAGCAACCACCAGCAGCAGCAGCGAACACCTCCTCCACCGGCACCAGCAGCTCCGGCGACCAAAGCCAGGCATGGCAGACAGCAGCAGCCAGCGAAAGCCAGCTCCCACTCCGGCCCTTTTTTCTTTCTCCGGCGAGCAACAGAACCAGCAGCAGCAGCTCAAGGCGAGAATTCCGGTCAGCAGCTATTGCACCGCTAGACAGGGCAGGTTTAGAGGAAAAGCTTTGAGTTTTGATTTGTTAAAAAATATTGGGTCTTATCAGATCCATCCAGGTTCGCTCTCTTGTTCGATTTATTATCTAGTTATTTAGATTTGATTATAGAGTTCTTAATCTTGATTCATATGTCTACTCTATGTTAAAGCTAGTAAATGCTATGAATTTCATCTTGAACATGCTACTAGTTTGTGTCTCTCTAATCATATGAATAATATTACCATTAGAGTTGCTAAATTTCATAATGTTGAAATCTTGTTCCAAACCTTTCCCTGCTTATGTTACGAATGTTATTCTTTTCATTTACGTGATTTTAGCTTATAGCATGGTAAGTCTAAATTGATAATAATCCATTGATTTGCTGATTTGATTAATCCGTATCAAGGAGAAATTTTCTTTAATCAAGTATGCATATTTCATGTTGTAAATTGATTTCTTTTAGGCCATATATAATTCTTGTCTAATTTCTTACTTGTTTAATAATTACGGTAAAATATTATTGATTGACTTATGCTTTTTTTCCTTAATATGATCATTTTGATTTTGCATGTTGTGGATTAATTTATGCTAAGTTGATTTTTATTTGCAGATTTTGGCTCTTGGTAATGGTAAAATTGGCTTTATTATTTTTTATTATTAATGTTAATTGATTGTAGTTGCCATAATTAAGAATGATTTGTCCATTACTTGCTATATTTTAGTTAAGTTTCGATTGAGCTAAAACACAATGTTAATGATTTGGTATTCTTTGAATAAGGAAAAAATAATATTTAATTGATTCTAAATTATTCCTTTCCTTATATTATATGCCCTCTTCTCCACTATAAATAACCTTTTCACGCACACATAGAGGACCCGGTCACTCCTGTTGACATATTCTAACAAAAGGCATAAAGTACCCTCTATTCTAAAGATTTAAAATGGGGTGAACATTCTAAGAAGCTTCTCTATTTGGTTTTGCTGTGTTCGGGTCTAGTGTCGGAATTAGTCTGATCTTCATTGCTGATTAATAAATCTGCATAATCGGTTAGTTCTCTTTTTCATTAGTTTAAATTTCGCTTGCATCATCTATTATGGATATTGTATGATTAAAATAAATAAAGGAAGTGTTCGGGTCAGTTCTCCTCTCCCCTTTATATGTGTATGATTGCATATGTGCAATATATGGCTTGAAGTAATACGTATGTTCTATTCTGTTTTAGTTCATCAAAAATAATTGCTATTACATGTGTTGTATATTACTTGGGTTGTATTGTTGCTTTGTTTAACAGGGTTTGAACTTAAAGGTTCAAGACATGAAGAGTCACCATGGCAGTACAATAGACAAATTGATTTAATTTATCTTTTGTATATTATTTATTCTTTTATTGTTTTGTAATAATTTGTAAACTCTAACTCTATATATGTGATATAACTTGGGGATCGCCTAAGGGGAGGGGGATATACGTGCTAATTGTCTATTTCCATTTTTAGTTTAGTTTATTCTTGTTATGTGTGATTGCTACGCATATATTATAATTATGTCGGAATCCCTTAAATAATCCAACTTAAAATCAATTGTTTATTTGTGTTTGTATATTTTTTTTAAAAAATTAACAAATTTGTAAAGCTTTTAGGTATGTCGCATAATAACAATTGATAGTCTCTTAATTAATTAACTTGAATTAATAAGAGTTCAATAACTAGTATATCCAGATCTTAGTTTCATGTGCTTAACAAACCTTTTTAGCATGCTAACAAATTTAAAAGGATTAAAATCTGAACTTTTATGTTAATTTGCCATATGTGTTATTTGTGAATATAGGCTCCATTAATAAATTTTAGCATATTCACTTGGAAATTATGCTTATAGGATCTAAATAATATATTCAATAGAACAACTTGTTAAAGTCATTCTTTTAGCATGTTAAATAACTAAAGCGAATTTGTTTTGAATATATTCTGCCTATTTATTAATGACATTTGTTTCCTTGTATATATAAAATATAAGCATAAGTAAAATAAAGGTAGAAAGCATGCCTATAGGATCTAAATAATTTTCAGTATGTTTTGAGCTTAGAAATCATGCATATAGGTTTAACCTGTGTTACATATTAGATAAATATCATGCCTATATGGTTAACAATTTGTTTAAATGAAACAGACATCGTGCTTATGGGTTTGATAACATTTTCAGCATATTCACACTTTGAAATCATGCCTATAGGACATAATTAATAAGTTGAGATGTTAATCACCATATTAAACAAAAAAGAGAGAAATTCTGTTTTAAAATTATTATCTGCTGTCTAGATCGAATCTGGCTCAAACCAATTAGGTTCTGCTCTGTTTTACTACTGAAAATCAGCTACTAAAATTAATTTTCTGCATCTGCTACTTGTTGTCCCGATTAAATCTTGTTCAAACTAATCTCTGCACTGTTTTGCCACTTAAAATAAATCAATTGCTGCATATTAATTAATGTCATTCTGCCACTGGCTCATCTAAAGACTTTAAATCTGCTATTGCTTAAACTGTTTCCCGCATCCTAATCATTGTTATGCCACTCTTTTAAATCAGTTAATACTTTTCCTGCACTTGGTAATTTTCTGCCCCTTCTCAATTAAATAATTGTTTTTGTTATAATGCTTGTTCATGCGCACACACTTAACATGCGTCCTTTTCACTCTACTTGTGTTTGCCAGCATGTGAATTAAAATCTAGAGGCCAATATGAGACTTATGTGCTAAATGCTCGTCCAAATTGTTTGACTTGGTGTCTAGGCGGGTCTATTAGGAGTTTACTTCAGTCCAAACCCTTCGTAATAGTAGTTCAATGCTTCTTGGACCTTAAGTCGGGACGATAGACACCTCTTAGAGACGAAAAGCATGCGGTGGTGGGGTAGGGGTAGTTTAGGCCCTATGGAGATGATGACATCGACTCGGTTTAAATGACAAACCTTTGTTTTTTCTGTCCCTACGAGAAATCGACCGAAATAAATAAAATCGAGTGCTGATCCTAAAGTCCTTCAGAGTCTCCCTTTCTTTTTGCCCCCCTTTATCTGTTTATAATTATTTGGGGTAGCTTAAATAAAAATAAAAATAAATTATTTGCTTATTAATTTGTACAATTTCTGTCTCCTCGCTCCTCTTTTATTAATTGTTTAAATATTTTATTTTTTTGCTTATTACATCACCTAATCTTTCATGCTTAATTAATAAAGTAGATAATTTAATTAATCCTAATTGTTTAATTATAGCTATCACTTAGTAACCATGCTAATTAAAGAAATAACAAATGAAGTGACCTTAAATGCTACTTATAACCCCCACATAAATTGCATGAGATACGGCCGGGACCCACATTTGTGGACCTCGAGGGATGCCTAACACCTTCCCCTCGAGGTAATTTGAACCCTTACCCCTGATCTCTGGTTCGTTGACCCTAGTAAGACTTAGCTAGGTTAGATAGGTGCCCTAACGCGCCTTAATTCGTTAGGTGGCAACTCTTCAATTGCTCCAAAACCCAAAAGAGTTGTTAGGTCGTGCATCCGTAAGGAAAGTCCGTTTTGAGAAAAACGGGGCGCGACACATTACATAAGTCATATCAACACATAAGGACCCACTACTAAAAAAATTGTCAAAAAATGACGGCCAAAAGCGACGGACTGCATCGCTTTTTTGGTCAAAATCGACGGAAAAGCAACGCAGTCACCTGCATCGCTTTTCAAAAAGCGACCGACTGCGTCGCTAAAAAGCGATGGATAGCGTTGCTTTTCAAAAGCGACGGACATCGTCTCTTTTTGACTATTTTTTTTAACAAAAGCGACGGACTTCGTCGCTTTATTTTAATTTTCATTTTTTTTATTTCTAAAAGGCGACGCAGTTCGTCATTTTTCTGGAAATTTTATTTTTGAAAATCTCTGAAAAGCGACAGACAAAACCACGCTGTCAGTCACTTTTATGGGATATAAAAAAAAAAACCCAGAAAAGCGATGGACAAAACCACGTTGTCCGTCGCTTTTCCTGCAATATTTTTTACAGCAGAAACTGTCAGTTTCTGTTGCCCACCTGCAAATGCAATTCAATTCAATTCTACATTATTCAGCCCAATCAAACACACACAATTATAAACAATCTAAACAAAACATAAACAACAAACTTAAAATGACATTAAAAAGTATCTAAATCACAAATTAAAGACTTATAAAGTCTTTCAAAATTCGTTTCAAAATTACAAAAAGTTCATAAATGTCTACAGATCTAAACTAGGGAGTGGGTTCTACATAATCATCCTCATCACTCTCGTCGTTGATGTCATCGGGAACCGAAGTAGTAGGTCGACGAGCGAGGTTCATCACTTGTTCTTTGATTTGCCGAACGGTCTCACTCATGCTTTCTTGTTCAGCTACTCTTCTCCGCTCCGACTCTGTCAATGCCGCTGTAAGCTTAGTTATTTGAGTCGACATAGCAGCAATCTGAACACCTTCAAGTGCCTCGGTTTGACGTGACGATCCAATTCCTTCTAAGCCTGACTAGAGTCGTCTTACATCGTTTCGAGAGCCTAGACCATAGACTCTACCCTTGTGTGTCCCCACTACCACTTTTTCTTTCCAAATCTGGGTGGAAAGTTCAGGTGTCAATTGGACCGAACTATCTAGATTCTCAGCGACGTACTGATGAAAGTCATTCTGCATTTTAAATATAAAAATTGACATCAATATATACACATATCATAAATATATTCACTATTAATATATATTATTCATATTAAATAACTTACAAAAGTTCGTTCAGCCCTTTCCTCCGCCCACACATCCGGATCCGACTCATTTATAGATATTCAATTATATTATAAATAAAATTTAATAATAATTTTAGTAGTAGTAATCA